CAAACTCAAATATGTTTTTACATCCTTCATGATGCTTGCACAAAAAATTAGCCCCTTATATTTAGGTTCAAATGTTGTGTTCTTAGCTTGTACATTTTCTTTTTTTATTTGATATATTATTGCCAGTCAAATCACTGAAGTTAAATGCTGGTTTTGATTCAATAGATCTAATTTTTGCAGGTATCCTAGTCATGCTCGCATGTGGATGGCACCTATCAGATCTGGTTTGGGGGACCAAAAAATGAATGATCTTGAATCTGCAATGAGCGATTGGCATGGCTTTGTTGAGGAGACTGAAAATTATTATGGGGTTAACATGAATATTCTTACAAAACCTTTCCGTGAAGAGCATGAAAAATATTATTTAAAGGTACATTTTACCAATAAAGTTTTAGAACAAGATTGTTTTATGTACATATGTTAATTCCTCTCAGTTTGCTTTATGCACTTAAGTAGAAAATAATTAATGTTTTATTTTGGCCTCTGTTTGTGATTTTTGGTTTATCTACTTTTTTGTGCAATATTAATATTCTAAAAATGGTGGATTCACTACCAAATTCTTATCATGTGGTGGTCTGATTATGTGAAATGTCCACCTAGATTTAAATGCTAAAATATTTGCTTTTAGATGGCCAAACATAATTACTGCATCCTAACTTTTGGTTGAAAAATTAGAATGTTATCTTATTTTCACTAGGAAGTCATATCCAGTGCAAGGATGTATGAAGACAGATGTAGCAATGATAGTAACCTAATAATAGGTACATATCTATAGTCTTCTATTATCTAGATGGATACCACTTAAAGATGGAAATTATGAGATTATTTAAGAAAATTTGGAAATTATGAGGTTTTTTTGACATTGCCAAAAGGTTTTAGACTGTGTATTGTCAGATTGCCTCCATTGGTGCTATACTTAGGAATATGTTCTTTTAATTCTTTGCTGCCTCTTAGAGCAGTTTAAGAACTTTAACTTCATTTAGAACTATAGCTATGACTAATGTTGTTTGATTAAAATGTTAATTTTGTTCAAGTTTCTTTCTAATTTCTTTCCAGACATCCTTGTGGAGCAATCTTCATCCTGATCAAGTTGTAGGTGTTCCCATTGTCATGAAGGAGATTGATTGTTTGACTGCTACAGTAGATGAAATCCGTATAGTTAACTCAACGTTCTCATTACCTATTAATATCGACAGGACACGCTTATCTGCATTAGCTGGGTGGTTCGATGTGCATTTTCGAGTATGCTGCCTTAACCTTGTTTTTGGGCATTTTATCTTGTATTGCAATGAATATCTAAATCTCTGTGCTGAATAAACTGTTCCAGGGTAGCAAGCAGAATCCGGCAACATGTGAAATTGAGTTGACTACTGCTCCCAGTGTCGAAAACACCACCCATTGGGGTCAACAGGTTTTTTCATTTCTGTTCAAACTGGGCTCATTGTCTTGGTTGTGATTTTGATGTTCTATTCACGTTGACATCCATGTTAGAATGTTCTGTTATTCACATGTCTATCGTATTCCTGTATAATCATCTGTCCAAAAAATCTATAGGTAATTAAGGCTTGGTGATATATTTCTTAGTTGACAATTGCCGATTGACACTTATGCATTCAGCACTTGCCAATTATTTTGCTTAAAAAAATTTGCAGCGTGTATTGGTGGCCCCCTGACTGGTAGAAATTGTGGTGTTGAATGCTCTAGTGGAGGTAAACTTTGAAAGGACCTACAGATTATTGTTGGCTTTGGAATGATTTACTATAAGGTTAGATGGCTACTATGTATCTGTATCCATGGTGAGAGGTGTCTGACTAACCTTTTCCTCTTGGCACAAGAGAACTTCATGTTTTTCTCAGCCACTTTGGAACAGTGAGCATGGATGAGTATTTATAGACTTAAATAGTGTCCAAATGAGGTGTTGTCGTATTCTGACGTTGCGGATATTTAGTCTTTTGGGAACATGGATGAGAGTTCCTGATATGATGGATGAAAATTGTAATTGAAGGTTTTTGTGGTCATACATTATACACTTAACTGAGGACTTCAGTTTGGTGGAATATATATATATATATATATATATATATATATATAACACAATTTTTTTTGTAAATATGAGAGGACAAATCCATGATAAAGGTTGAACTCAACTGTATTATATTTATCAATTATGTTTAGTATTTGAGCTTGAAATTTATGTTATGTAGACATGTGAATTCTGAATGTGGGATTATCGGTGCATTGGTTTGTGTTATCTGAAACTTTGCTATGGGCTTAAATAGAGTATGTGGAATACACAGAGTTGAGTTCTGAATTATACCTAGGGCTGGACAAAATTGCATTTAGATTTGAATTATGGATAAAATTTGGAGTTGGAATTATGTTTTAGGTTGGTCATTGGATTTTTGGCTGGATTTAAAGTTGGCTAGGTGCAATTAGGTTTTAGCTTGGTCATTGAGAGATGACAAGTTAAGTTTTAGATTGGATTCTAGATTGGAGGTTTTGATGGGTTTGCAATTGGGTGGCTTAGTTTGAATTAAATGATTTGTACATCAAGTTGAGCTGATGCTTTACTTAGACTTGATTGGCCCTTTAAAAAGAAGATACAAGTTATCCGTATCCTGTTTGAAACCAAGAAAGATTTTCCATAGCTACAACTTATGCAATGTTTCAAACCATACTGATTTAAAAAGAATCATGGCATTTGAGAAGAAGATATTTCATCAGAATGTTAATTATTATGTACTTCTAGCTAATTCCTTCACACCTTTGCATGAGTTTGTAGTGTTAGTATTTCTGTTTTATGATAAATCTTTTAATCTATGGCTTAGAGGAAGGAATATTTATGAACGGTTGTTACCTGCCAAGGATCATACTGTTCAAAATAAAACATGATAGTAACAAAGTTTGAAGTCGTAATAATTATCTGGTTCATTTTATGCCAATATACTGATATTGCACTTTTAGATAACAGAATATGGTTTAAAAGTGGACATATATTCGTTAGTGTGAGACACAAACTAATATTTGACTGTTGGGTTTAATTTCTGACAATTGAACTAAGAAAACTTTCGTATGTGGTGGGATCCCATCTTTTTTCTTTTTTGCTATGCGAATACTGGTCATGTAAAAATAATATTCACAAACAGGATCCTTTGGTACATGCATGCCAGCTTTTCGAGCAAGTTGGATCAAATAATTGCAGTTCTTATTCTATAAATTGCAATCAGTCTTTGATGAGATTATTATGCTTTTTAACTTTTTTATATTTAATGAATGACTTAAACAAAGCATTTTGAAGATATTTCTTTGGTGTACATCTAGCCAGTGTATATTGGCTGCATAATTACAATTTTTTTCTTTGTATGCTCATGCAGCTATTCCTGCTACATCCTGCTCTTAGAGTTAATGAAGGCGATGAATTATTGATCTCCTTTTTGATGTGCCGCTCCAAAGAGAACCATCGGCTTATGAATGTGGATTTAACCTATGAATTGCAGCAGCCATCTGGGAAGCGACTTCCAGCAGTCAATTCAAAGTTCTATATAGAATGATGGTCCATGGAACCATAGGAACACAGGTATTGCATCTTTTCAAGGACAAGCATAAGCATGTTATTTTTGACCCAAAGAAACACATCCTTGAATCTTGAATTGGAAATCCATTAAAAACAAATTGCCAAGCTTTTAGATCCTCATGGATGTGTTCCTTTTTTAGCTCTGGCCAGTTTTCATGCTTGAGCTTATGAACGCAACCATTTACCATAATCTCTATTGTATGTTCATGCATTCATCTGTGTTTCTATTCAGACTATACACACCCCACCATTCAGTTGAAGGTGAATGTTATCAACCTTTTTTGTGCACTGCAGGGTTATTCTTCCAGAACGATATTTTTCAAGGTATGCCATATGTAAGACTAAGAAGCTCTGCCTATCCTTGCTTGGGATCTTGTTGTGCGTGAGATCTTAACCAGGAAAACCCAGCAATCATCATGACTTCTCTGGTGATGCTCTCGTTTTCAGTTTCATATTTATTCAAGAGACAAAGGCTTGTATGTGAAATTTTTGAATATTAGTAACTCATGTATGATTAAGATTACTTATTTTAAGCCTTTGCTTGGAAACATGGAACCGATGCGTAGCTTTGAGATCCAAAAACGCATCTGTCCTCAACTACTCCTGTAATCCTCTAACCATCATCCCACCACCTCTTAAGAGCCCTCAATCATGCCTTGCTTGTGGTGAGTAAAATACACTCCACAGGTTTGTGTTCTGCTCTCACCTTCCCTATCTAGCTGGAAAGAACATTATACGACCAACATCTCCAAGCCAACATGAACCAAGTTATTCTCTCTACCCACTCTCAATAGTTCTACCCACATACGAAATCATCAAATATGATAAGGATACTATACGAATTAAAACAGATACTCGAATTGGATTTGGATAGAATAAATTCTGATGACAACAAAATAATCAAAACAATAGAATTGGATCGAGGAGTTGTGTAGAGAAACTCTCAGCCCCAAGTGGCATCAGCTATACGTATACTCAAAACTGCCACTAAAGCCAAGTTGTAGACGGTTATACTCTGCGATCCGAGGGGAAGCGTGTCGCTGACCCTAAATATCCAGTTGACGAGGTCCAATGTGACCGCAAGCTCTAACGAACAACGAAGAAAAGATCGTATCCGTGGGAGCGCCTCCGATTGGCCAACACCTCCCGGTCCCGCGGGACCCGCTCCTATGGCCAATGAAAAATGTGCCGTTTCACGTTCGGTGTCTCGGCGGTGACAGGAGCTGCACCTCGAGCGCCACCCGGGTCACTGAACCGGACCGCCTCGTGCCGATCCGAGCCGCAGATCAGCGTCAGTGGCTCCATCGAACGGCCGTGGTTGTGTCGAGTCACGGTGAACGACGCCATTTCGATCCCCCTATTTAATTAAACCTTTCCGAGTTTTCCTCGGAGATCCACAATATAATAATTTCTACTGTTCTCTCTCTCTCTCTCTGGCCTCTCTCTCTCTCTCTGTCTCTCTGCCCCGAAAGCCACAGCAAAAGAGACGGCCAGCGACGAACACAGGGAAAAAGTAGGAGGAATCGATCGATCTCTTCTGCGATTTTCATTGAAAGGTTAGCAGTCATCTTGCCTTGTCGTTTTTCCGATTCTAATAGATATGTAGATCGTTAGCTTTCAATGAACAAAGTTAGTTGAGTTTCTTTAATCCTTCGTGCATTCGACGATCGTCGGTTCTTTTCAATTTCTACTGCGTTCTTTTTGTCTATTATCGGAGATTCTTGTGTTTTCGCTGATTTGTTTTTCGAGTTCTTCTTAGTCGATCGCCTATAGAATTCTGAGGAAATTTGTTGTTCGGAGCGCAGCCGTAAAAGATGTAAATCGAATCATCGTGTTCTTGTTGGATTCTCGGAGTATCAAAGTGCTATTTATTTTGGTTGAAATTCCATTTGCAGTTTATTTTCCTTGTATTGTTATTGTCCTTTTGCCCCCTTAAGAGTGATCTTATTCCTATGCCTGTAGTTGATCTTTTCTTCTGTGTTTGCATCTTAATTAGGGTTGGATCAAAGAGATAAATCACTGGCATCATGAGACTTACGAAGGGGAGCAAGGTGGAGGTGTCGAATACGAAGGATGTGCCCTCGGGCTCTTGGCGGATTGCCGAGATCATCTCGGGTAACGGGCATAACTATTTTGTTAGGTACGCTCGATGTCCGTCGGACAGCAGCATGGGGGTGGAAAGAGTGCCAAGAAAGGCAATTAGACCCTGTCCTCCACCAGTGGATGCCCCGAATGATTGGATGCCCGGTGATTTTGTTGAGGTTTTCGACAATAACTCATGGAAGATTGCTCAAGTATCAAGTGTAGCTGGTGGAAATTATTATTCTGTAAAGCTTTCCGGCTGCTCAAGGAGGTTCACAGCTGATAAGTCTCTTATCAGGATGCGACAGTCTTGGCAAAACAACAAGTGGGTGGTGGTTCAGAAGGTAGGATCATCTGATCGTGTTCCCAATCGTTTGGTTTTGAGTTCATGTGCATAACAGTCGCTTGATTAGCATCCTATTTATCTTGATTTATCTAGTTTAACTTTGTCTAACTGTTTCTTTAAAGCTGTTTCTCCTTCATTGCTTAAGTCCTGTTGAACAACTAGTTTTTTATGTATGGCTCCTATCATATCAGATACTTCGTTATATTATATCTAATATCTTTTCCATTTGTTTCAGAATTCTGGAGAACAAAGTGTTCGGCCCCAAAGAGGTTTGTCCAAAGGAGGAAAGTCTGATTTTCGGTTGACACAATCATGCATACAACCGGATAATTCTGTTGTGAGAAACCATTTTTCCATTCAAAATCATGATGCGCTTGAGGAATTTATTCGAGTTTCATCAAGAGCCACGAAGAAACGGAAACTTGAGGCATTTCCTACCGAAGAGTCATGCACGAATGCTAGTAGAAAGACGGGGAAAATTGAGAAAGATGGGAGGCATCAAGAGATTGTTGCTGGGAATTTGCCACATTTGCTTGAAAAGGTAGGTGTTGTTGCCTCTGCACGAACAGTGGTGGATGAAAAATACATGCGTTCTTCCTTAAACAACAGAATAACTTCTATCACGGAGTCGAAGAGGGGAATACCAAATCTAGATAGCCATGCTATAATGAGTCTAGACTGTAGTGATGCAGAAAGTACTTCATCCTCTGTTGGTAGTTGTAGTATCAGTGAGAATGCTTATGGATCACCGAACCATTGTGTATCCTTTTCTTCCCAAGACTCATATACTCGTCCTGGTCATGAAGAAATGCTTTATGGTCTGGGAAGAGAATTATCTCTTCCTTCCAAAGAAGAATTAGGAGCAGAAATTCATCAACTTGAGTTGCATGCATTCCGTTCCATGATGACAGCATTTTATGCTTCTGGCGCAATAAGCTGGGAGCAGGAATCATTGTTGACAAACCTCCGCCTTATGTTAAACATATCCAATGATGAATATCTATCGGAGCTAAGAAATTTAATGTCTAAGTAGCTGCCACCTCCGGAAACCATGTGTAGTTTCTTTTTCAGGATTGTTAATGCTAACCTCAGCATATTTATTGAACTGTTCAATTTTACATAAGGTGGGAAATTGAGATTGTAGCTATTCATTGAATATTCAGGATATATTTTGAAGTTTTGAGACAGTTTCTTACTGTTCCAAAATGTATTATAAACCTTTTAGTGTAATTGCTTTTTCTCTCTGGAAGCCATTGTTGGCTTTTCTTGGGTTTAGTTTTTATTTTTTTTTTCCTGCCATCATTCCTTAGTTTTTCTGTTGTGTCTCATGTAAATGTGGATGGAAGATGTTGAGTAAGCTTTACAGGTATACTTTTGTTCTCAAGGTGATCAAATAATTAATGCGAAGTTATGTTTTGGAAGAATTTGTTGTGTGTGTTACATTTAGTCTGCTTTCTAAAAGAGACGTAATGGTGTTGACCACCTGCTTTAAACTCCATAAGCAGCTTAAGACAGGCAATCAACAGTGTTGTTACATAAGTCCGGCTTAATCGGCATCACTAAAAGTGTCAATGTAATATCCCCAAAATCGACATCATTAGTGTTGTTACATAAGTCCAGCTTAATCGTAAGTCCTTTTGAGATTATAAAATTTATTAATAAGATAAATTGACAGGTTTATTTTGCGGATAGCTTGTTTTAGATCAGTTTTCTGAAAGCATTCTAACTTTCATATATTGATCCTTCAAGAATTTTTAAAAAAATATTATGGATGTTTTAGCTTATTTACAATAAAAAGCATATTATGGTTTCAATATATATCAATAAGTTTACATGTTTCAATTGATAATTTTTCATGTCTGTATGATGGAAGAATTCATGCATGAAGATTCTGCCTGCTCCTTGTTTATCATAGATGTTATTGAATGGGCACCATGAAACTTCAAAGTGTGACCTGCCCATCCTTTCTTTTTTTTTTCTGAATATCTTGAGCGTATAAAACTTTTATGTGCTGGCTGTCCTGGTAATGTATTAGAAATCTATTTCGTTTGTCTTTCTTTAACTGTACCATTTTGTTAACACAATGGTTGCTTCTTATGCCTCTTCCAGGACCAAAGTTGGGAGGGTCCAAAAGTATGCTTCCATTGGTCTGTGACAAAAGGTGGAGTTGTCATGTGTTTTGCACCCTCAACAGTGTGGCAACAGTTCCATCTAATTCTCATGACAACTTCTGTATTATCGATTGATTGTTATTTTTGATTCTGTTAGCTTTTAATTCAGATCTAAAGTTGGTTGATTAGTATATATATATTTGCTAGCTCCTACTTCATACTCGCTTCGACATATGACGCTTTTTGCATGGAAGTTTACCGGAAACATTGCTTTTGAATGTCTTGGACATTTCATGTTGGAAACACTAATACTAGTAATATGTATGTACATTACTGATGATCGAGAGCCACTGTTATGCTCAAACAAGATGGTCATTACTATGATCTGTTTACTCACTGTTACTCATAATGAATGGGCAAACAAACACTTGTTGCTCTGGGTCAGGTACATAGTGTTGGAACTTATTGGCTTGAAACTTTTTAAGATCCTAGTGCTCAAAATATTCTACTGTGTATTGTACATCATTCGAATGCTTCATCTCTCTACCTATGAGATGGCTGAAAGTCTTTGACAGAGTAGTTGGCTGCAACACAAAATGCCTTCACGATATTTTCTACTTGAAGAACGTGAAATACGTAGAAATATTCAGAGATTTACATGATATTTTTAGAATGAATGGAGTGTTTATATTTCTCATTAAGTTTTTGTTTTTGCTTAATGTGGATGAATAATGTAGTTATTATTGCCTATCAGATTCTAAGATCAATAAAATCAAAATCTTACTTTAGGAAGTAAACCAATACAAAATGGCAGCCCAGTGCACTTAATTCCCACCAATGCGGGATCATCAATATACACAACCATGCTTCTGCAAGCAGAGATTGTGATTTGAACTCTGGCCGCCCTTGTTACGAATGAACAACTTATACATGACACCAAGGCTTGCCCACTTTTAGGAAGTAAACCATATGGATGGGAAAAAAACTGATTCAGATCTGCTGTCACAACAGGGTCAGGACTTGAGGAGAAATATTGGCAGCATCTCTCGGTGAAGAAGTAATTGCTACACATGAACTTTTGTTCCAATGTTTTTGGTAGCAATGCTTTTTAGATTCTCCGACTGTTTCTAGCATGAACGCTTATGTCTTATTGGTACATATTTTTCTCTCTGATTGGTTAAGATATCCATATGGTGGTTTTTTTTTGGCTGTCATAAATGCCATCGATATAGACACAGTATCGTATCTTGATGATTTTGATAATCTTGCATCACTTGTATTGGTTGCTTGATGGAAGATGAACCAAGTAGTTTATTCATATTTTGTATTGACTTTTTCTCTATAGAATAAACATAGTTGTTCCATAGTTCTATAGATGATATATTTTGCATAAAACAATTTATTTTATGCCTTTCATTTGTGTTTTTAAAGCATCCTTAAGAACCAAAATTTTGCCTCCACTTTTTAAGAGAGAACTAGAGTACAAGATTGTTAAATATAATTGGCAATCCTTTCACATAATTGCTGCTAAACTAAAATGTTGATACTTGATACAGAAAACTTCTCGTTAAACGAAATAAATGATTATTATGAAAGATCAAGAATCTCTTAGCCGTTACATGACTATTTGTGAGAAGAAAGTCCTTCTAGGCTGCTGTTATTTTGGTCTAGGGAAACTGTACAGTCCATACTTCCATCTTATTCTTTGATCAGAAAACTTTTGTTCTCAAAGTTTAACTATGCTTTGAATCTGTTGTTTCTAGTAGAGATTTTTTCTATGGTTACCTATCTTTGATTTAATAATGTCTGTACACTAACTTAATGTGTCAAATGCTGAATGCAGATAAATCTGTGTCTCTGTGATATCTTGAATATTGGCATAAGATGTGAAGATAGCATCGAAGAATTAAATATATAGCCTATGAAATTAATGGATCAAGCTTGAAAAATATCATGTTTTATTTAAAGTCCTACAGAACCTTGCTAATTTGTAAGTAGGTAATTTTATGAATTGATGGACTTGTGCAAAAAGAGTTTCACATTCGGACAAAATAATTTATTTAGAACCCTTTGATATTGTTATGAACATGAAATTAACTATTTAACTTTTCTAAAGGATTTTATGTCTTTTAATCCTTGTTAAAATCTCCCAGCCTATATGTCCATTGAGTTAGGGGGCGTCAGACCGATATGACATGTGAACCTAATGAATACTATAATATAGACCATCTTGTATGCTTTGCTTGTACTATTTAACCAGAAGCTGGGTTCTTGCTTATGCTTGTCAATGATGAAGCATTTAAGATGAAGGTCACTAAGAAAGGTATTAACATATTTCTTTTACCCATATCTAAATTTCAAAGTTTCTGTTTCATTTGAGAAATGCTGCATCTACATTTTCAGATTTGAAATTCTTGAATATTTTATGCGATAGAACATTTGAAAAAGAAATTCTTGCTTTCTATATTTTAAAGGTAAAAAAAGTCATCTTTTTCAAAAAAATTGGTACCAAAAGATCCGGCATATTGATCCTGAAACCGTCTTTTCTGGTATGATTAATGCATATAACATTGCTAGAAACTGTCTATTTTGTCCTATTATCTGAAAATTGTTCTTGATATCTTGTCCTTATAAGAAAGTATCCTCTTGGTTAAGTCTGATTAGCAAGATTAAATATGAAAATTGCTAGTGATTCAAAAGATCTGTATTTATTTCTTTAAATACAAAAGTTTCTATTGGGACCTTTTGTAAAATTGCTAGCAAGAACTCTAAGGATCTTCTATCATCCAGGCTCCCACTTTTGTTAATGGAATATGAGAGCATATGCATCCAATCTTAAGGTATGTTTCAACAAACATCTCTTTGATCCAAAACATAGTGAAGGTTTTCCCACTGTTTACTTTTAGTTATTGCAAATGCAGCCTTTATATGTGGAAAGGCAGTTGGAACTCATATTGGATGCATGGGATTTCATACTTGTATATGCTCCTCGTCAAATGCTGTAATGGGCTCCTGTAATAATCTGTTGTTGTCATGGTCTAGAAGTATACTTAGTTGGGTAATTGCCCATTTAAATTATTGCTTGTTCGAGAAATTTTTTGGCTGGTCTTTGCAATCCGTTCTATCATAGTGTTCTAGAAAGAAATGTCTTTGGTATTCTACAGATCACTAATTCCGCAAGTTCAATAAAATTCCATCTTATTAAACCAAAACGTGTACCTTTCGTTGGCACACAATCTTGTTGACGTTTATTTTCTTGTTTTAAGCAACCAGAAAACCCAGAAGCATAAAAATTCTTGAGTTTGTGTTGGTTAGTCATTGCAAGAAGAGTAAACTGCAATCTGAATGTCTGATCAAGTTTCTTTGTTGACAGGTCATTGTAGCTGTTCTAGTCTTAGATGGATCTCCACAAAAGAAATGACAACAAGAAGGTTGCGATCGTTGTCATCATATCCACCCGGATGTGTATGCATGTATCGGGAATCTTTGTACATCCTCTTTTTTTTTTTCTTCTCCCTCTCTGTCAAATTTCGTTGCTAGTAGATGTCTCAACCAGTCTCAACATGTAGGTTGCAGTCCCAGTTTGAGGAGTTGAGTAAAATGTACATAATGTGTAATAAATAGGATGGCACAATAATGTTTTAGTGATCGAAGAGGTGGTGATTTTGTTTCCAATTGAGAAGTAGTAATTGCCTACGAGAAATGTTACATATCCTCTTATGTAAATGACTCCAATGTTACACATATCCTCTTTGGTGAATCAACTTCAGCAATGCGGGAGCCAGAGACAAGGCATGTTATGTAAGGATGGTTCTTTGTGACGTCACGCTGAAATATAAGCTTCAATTTGCAGATTGCGCAGACAAAAACATTATAAATTTTAATTACGATTTTTTTTCCTTCATTTACATAAATTTTAATTATAAATCGATTAAGACTTAATAAATCATGTGGTTTCCATAAATCATGCACAAAAATTTCTTTGTGTAAATTATATATAGTATACATATAACATTAAAGTCATAAATATTAGACGGTAACATTCAAGACTTGAGTACACAGATTATTTTAATCACGAATACAGATCTTTAACCATCAAGCAATTTCACTTGGCGTAGTTTAAACGGATCAACCTATAAATTGGCTACTTGTGTTGAGGAGTTTCAAAATAACACACGAGCAGTAGTTTGTCACTGCAATTGGACGAGCAATGGAACTACTACTTCCACAGTTTGCGCAGGGACATGTTCTTCTCTGTCTCTTTCTTCATGACTTTGGCCACCGCCATCTCGAAATCCTCTTGGGTCACATGGACTCTTCTTTCCCTGAGCGCAAACATCCCAGCTTCAGTGCACACCGCCTGCAAACAAGGCATCAATCCATGATAGGCACTCCTAAGCAAACCGTAGTCAAAATGAAGTTTATATTTGAATCAAAAGAGCATAAATCGGAAGATTATTAGTCGTTTATTGGCTGTACAATTACGTGTTCATCTAAATACACACATGATATAATTATTGTTGTGAAAAAGATAGCCAAGATAAAGATATGGACTGATGGCAGCCATTTTTTTGGCTGTCCAACATTTTCATCTATAAAAAAAAACACACACACACACATGCTCATCTATATCTCAAGGGGGACAATACCACTACCTGCCTAAAACTGAAATAAGGTGATTCCATATGTAATGGCATACACATGCAGTTGCTGTTGTTGTAAAAAGGATTTACAAGATAAAATAACTACAATCATGAATCAAAGAGACATGGGGAAGAAAATACACAAGCCATTCGAACAGTGAGAAACTGAGTACCTTAAGTTCTGCTCCAGATGCTCCATTCATCTTTTCTGCAATTTTTTTAAGATCTATGCCACGCATTAAGTTCATCTTCCTCGAGTGAATCTTTAAGATATCAAAGCGAGACTGAAATAAAATGGGAGGTTTATATCAGATCATATTCGTGAAGTTAATTAAGTTGCTAAAGATTAAAAGGTACAAAAACTAATCATGCGTTGAACATCTATTGTTTACCTCTTCATTGGGATTAGGGAATTCAATTTTTCTGTCAATCCGACCAGGCCGGAGGAGTGCTTGGTCCAGAATATCTATCCGATTTGTCGCCATCAGAACCTGAATAAAACAACATAATTTACTTTAGCACACTATTAAAGAATGCAACAATAAAATTTATACTTCTGATGAAATTCATTCACAAACAAGATATTGACATACTTTAATTTTGTTTGATGCTTCAAAGCCATCAAGCTGGTTAAGAAGCTCAAGCATCGTTCGTTGCACTTCACTGTCACCATTACCAGTGCCAGACTCCATTCTAGCAGATCCAATACTGTCTATTTCATCCATGAATATTATTGATGGAGCATGTTCCCTACAAAGAAAAATATTTGCACCAATCACATTAATGTCTATGAGGGATCAAAGCTATAAACTTTTTTCCAACTGCAAGGGGTATATGGAGTCAAGGAAACGAAGGTGTAAATTGCCAACCTCCTAGGCTATGGATAAGAGAAATGCAATGAAGGAGACGACAAAGGACCATTATATAGAAAACCAAAAGAATTTATCAAATAAAGGTCTTCCAGAGGTAATGTGTTGACATTGCAACTTAATATACCTGGCCATAACAAATAGTTCACGAACCATTCTAGAGCCCTCTCCTATGTATTTCTGAACCAACTCAGAACCAGAAACCCTTATGAATGTGCAATCAGTATGATGAGCAACTGCCCTTGCCAAAAGAGTTTTCCCTGTGCCAGGAGGCCCATAGAGCAAGACACCCTGCAAATAATCCAAAGTCCAATTGTATATGCAACATGTGTGTTTCTTTTTAGGAGAGATTAGCATTTGACAACCTGAAAGCATAAATAATATGCTGTCTATGGTGGCAATACCTTTGGTTGCGCTATTCCAAGGCTCTCAAACAATTCAGGATGCTTAATTGGAAGCTCAATAACCTGAAAAATTGAGTGTCTGACATTTATTACATGGATCTCATGTAATTCAACAAGTCAAAGGAAGTATCATAAGTTGAAAAGCTATAATCAAATAGAAAAAGACTGTTGGCAATTCATTGACCTCCTTTATTTCTTTGATTTGCTGATCAAGACCACCAATCATGTCATAGGTGGAATCTGGAACCTTTTCAACTTTCATAAGATTGACCAGAGGATCTACTTTGCTAGGCAGGATTAGGTGAAGAACATAACTATCATTGCGAAGGGCAACTCTGGTTGATGGTGTTAACTTTGTTATATCTATGCTCTTATCAAGATCAACAACATATTTTCCTTCTGGATGAACCTGGAAAAGGATAAAGAACAAGCAAATGAATAGTAACCACTAAATTTTCAAAAACCTTAGAAAAACAATATATAGCCAACTTTTGATGTAGAGAGTAATGCATCATTATAATGCCAATCTAACCTGCAGTCAGTAATAAAGATGGATAAAGATTATATATAGCTTGAATGACATGGATAAGGATTAAGTGCAATGTTCATGGTAACCCAAGAAGAAGAGATATAGTAGAAAATAATCATGCTTAAGCTAGGTCATCATCAAAGAACAATTAAATAATTAAGAAGTTGGATTAATTCTTTAAAGGGGGACTTTGAGGAGAGAGAATAAAAGGGTGAATCTAGTAAAAGTGACTTCCATCAATGCAGGATTTGTGGGAATTGGGGAGGATCAATGTATATAGTATTCCCTCAATATTTAGGAAGGCTATTTTCGAGGTTTGAGGAGAGAGGATTCATAACACAGAGAGAGAGAGAGAGAGAGAGAGAGAGAGCAGGGGTGGTGGAGTCTTGGCCCATTGTTTCTCCACTATTTGCGACCAATCCCATCAAAAGTAGCCACTAACCAAATCATCAAGAACATCTTGTCAAGCATGGAAGGTAAGATAAAGATTGTTGAAGTAAAATCACAAATGCTGAAGAAAGATCAATGAATCATACACATCTGTTGACGAAAAAAGGGATAAAAAACATCTTGTAGACAAAACAAAAGAATATGGTCCACAACCCCTAACAGAAGGGTTCACTGTACAAAAGGTTATAAATAACTAGACTTTACATGTGAATAAACACTTTTAAACGAAAGCACAATAACATTTACTCTCAGGAAACTAAGATAAATGCATGTATAGTTCCAAACAAAAAAAATACAACGTTTGTTTACTGCACAGGAAAGACAATTGTGCAGTTTTCACTTGACGAACAGCACACAACTGCTAATGGGAAGAGAAAAAAACCCAGATAATACAATTGGATCAATGGCCCTAATGATACCTAACGATGCCATCCTCATGCACGTCTGGCTTTGATCAAGAGGTCACGTGCATCACAAAATAGAGAAGACTTATACAAGAAGGTCAAGCTTTCAAGTTTCTAGGAAGAGACAACAAGTGCAGCCCATCATCAATCCAATAACCTGGTAAATTCGTTGTTCCATGCACATTAGTTGCAATAGATGCATGCTCATCATCGGCTGTGGATGATCTACCAATGTACATAGCCCGCATTGGTGGGAACCTCATCATCGACGGTCGATGATCATTACAGCAGTTTCCAAAAGTGTAGTAATGCAATAAGATGATAAAATGTTCCAAATAGATGCCTTCACCAGACAAATTTAAGGGTAAAAACTGCAAACATTTGCTAGAATCAAGAATCCCTATTTTATATGACAAAAATAAATAATAAGTGCTAAAACAAATCCGTTAGTTGATACATGACAAACATAAAATAGTACCAAGATTTACCTTGACCAAGACCTTCGATTTGCCCATCACTTTCACCACCTCGCCCACATAAGAACCAGGCTCCTGAAGTAGCTGCAACTCCTCACGGAGCATTCTTACTGCAACCACAAACCACATGCATCAGATCGAATCGGAAACTAAAAAGGGATCGCTCTAATAGCACAAAACGCAGCAAGATCCGACCATTTCTGCAAGAACTATTTCGACCAAAAGAATTTGCCAAGAAAGAAACATCGAGAATCCTCCCGTCTCGATTATCTTGACGATCAACGGCAAGACTAGGGTTCACCGTATTAAAAGCGCATCAAGAAGAAATGGTGCAAGAACAAAGGGCTAGAATTAGGGTTTCCGAACCTCGCGAGTTGAGGTCGTTCCGCTGGGCCTCGAGGCGCTGGAGGTTGTTGGACTTCTGCCGGATCTGGAGCTGGTGATCATGGATGTGCTGCAGATAGTACTGCCGCAGCCCCTCGCCTCCGCCTCCCCTGACCCTCGCCGCCGGAGCACACATCTCCCCCTCCGCCTCCGCCGGATGCTTCTTCTCCACTGCCACCGTCGCCATCGTCCTCCCTCGCCCTTAGCAACAACAAAGTTACGAATCTACCGATCATGCGCCTCTCTTTTATCGCGAGTTGCCTCCGCCCCTTGCGACACAAGCAACCTTTCGACTTTGTTTATTTGCATATAAACCCCCGAAAACAACGGAATCTTCTCGAACATGCATTGCCCAAATGCAAATTCGTAACATTATAAGTTATCTCTTGTAATTAGTTATTTTAGCGTATCAATTCTTATATTTTTAAAAGTAAAATATTTAGATCCCTATATAGATTAAAAAAATAATTTTATAAAATTAAAAATCAAGAGAAAGATTTTATTGAAACAATGGAATGAAATATTTTATTTTCATAAATATAAAAATCTCAATATAATTTTTAAAATATAAAAATTAAGATACTAAAGATAACTAATTACAAACGATAATATATAATCTTTCACAGAGATATGATTGAAAGTGTTCTCGACAAATCTATTTGAACAAATCTCATTTATATGTATCTTAAGCGTCAGGTGCATCAACTTAAGGATGAGAGGGTTTGTAATCAAAAGTTACATCCCCATTTTCTCTAGTGAAAAAAACAAGGCTTCCTTGATCCTTTTCTTGATTCCAGACAAATAACCATTCACTTATAAAGGTTGAGAACGAGAACATAATAATAGGATGAAACTGATTTGCAATTATGTGATAGACATTGACAAAGAACAGAGAAAATTTCTTGTGTCTATTCTTTGCATTTTTAATGTATCAATTTTCAGTATCCACCAATCTTTTTTACAGACTGAGTGCAAATATACAGGTAAGAACGTCACAGCTATTACAGGAGATCAAAGAAATCATTGATCTACACAATGTATATTGAAAGAACGATCCAAAAGTTGCACTTAGGAATGAGCTTAACAAAGATGACACAGTTGATCCCTGCTCTGGCGGAACTGTCTGCAACATGCTTGCAGGTTATTCTAATGTGAAGTCATTAAGCCATATCAGCACCTCATTTCGCTTCGATCCAATATTGTAGTGACATGACAGTAAAACAAAGCATGCATCAGGAACAGTAAGAAGACAGAGCAGCTAAAAAAATACAACAATAAAGCAGTCTTGCTATTTTTACTGTTTATCATAAAACATGATCAATACGGTACCAAAGACAAAACTTCAGAATGGAGGGCACAATGAAACAAACTTGTGGTCTGTAGTTCTACTATTGTTCTCATAGGACTGTAAAGAAGCACACTAGACATGAAAAAAAGTGAAGAATAAGTGGAGTATAAAAAGACAACTATCATTAAAAAGGTTGGAATAATCTTTTTTAAAAGAACCTCACAACATAGGAAAAATCTGTTCACTAAATTAGTCAGTTCTTAGTGCCTTTTGATATTTCCTTTGGAGTATATGCATCGAGCATAACAAGAGACAACATACCATTATGAAGCTGTTTGTACTGCCAGGATCATTGTAGCGAGCAAGCAAACAACCTTGTTGAGGTCTGAGACCATCTTTAAGTATCGCAGACCGAAGTTCTCTCTCTTTACTGAGTACAATTTCTTCACTCGGTTTTCCACTAAATTTTGTTACTGCAGCAATACCTCCTTCAACCTTTCTCAAATTAACTGCTTCGGCATTGGGAGAAGGCAAACTGACCAAATGAAGATGCTTATCAGCTAATGACATTATTCAAGCAAGCACCACCTATTTAATTTATAACCAGGTCTCTTAAAATCCACGTCAGTCAGCATGTTTATGAAATGAACTATAGGATAATTTTCGTGATTCTGACTGTAATGTGTAGCTATTCAGACTTAGCTGATGGCAGTGAACCAGTGGCAGAATTAAGCTTACTTGCCCAAGTCTTTGTCCATTGGTAGAACGATCTGGATAGAAACTTTTGATAATTTGTCATCAACTGCCTGTGTGAAAACAGGGGTCGTCATGGGAATCTTTTCAGTCGAGGAATTCTTACCGAATATATACCTACAGCATGTAAAAGATGAATACATCTTAAGTAGTATACAAATCACAATGCTACCAATTTGCTGTTCCTACTTGAACTAAACATGTTTTACTAACCCGGCAACATTGTTGAAACCAGATGAGCCAGATAGCTTATCTCCTTCGGTTTCAACCACCACAAATGGCTCATACTTCCTTATCTGTGAACACAAAAAAGATTTAATCAAACATTTCAGTGTTTATTATGTCCACTAGGATTTGTTTCTAAGGAAACAGGAGGGTTGCACAGGAAAAGAACCCAAGCATATTACTTACAAATAAAAAGAGAAACAAATAAAAATCCTAATAACATGACTACTTTTCCTTGCTTTTCTTTACTAGCTTCTGAATCTGATCATAAACACAAATTAAAGCACATAACAGCACAACATGAGATATACAAACCAAAGAGACCATATAATAATAAAATTTTGCTTCAAAAGATACCTTGTAATTTGTAACAATGCAGAAAGGGCTGTTAGAAGAATCACACACATTGTACCTCATAATTTGCAGTTCTTTTCAGTATCAAGTACTTTGGGGTTTCCAATTCCGGAGTCTTGTATATTCGCAGCTACAGAAGTACAAGCGATGGATAAGAAAAATTGAGAGACAAATCAAGATGACAGAACCACATTGTTGCAATAATGAAGACATACCTGCTTTAAAACATCTATTAGACCTTCCAAAGAAAAGTAGTCATTGTTTTGTATGGAGTCCCAAAGATCCTACGGATACAAAAAGTCATCGATAACAGCATTGATCAAACCACAAAGTCAAGAGTGTCAGAAGCTACTGCTACAGTATCGAAAAGAAGCTCACCACATGGCTGCAAAATTTTTGAGTCAGTGGGCTGACGCCCATGACTGATATTCCTGTGAACACCAACTCTGGTTTCCATGGTAGAAGCGTAAACCTCATTACCATAGTCCATCTTGTAGTGATTTCATTAGGTCCTGTCTACAAGAATTTAATCAGTTAAAGAAATACCATAATAGCAATGTCTAAACTTCCTAGAATTCACACAGGACAAAAGAAAGGATCGACACAGGAGCGATTTCCGAAGGGCAGGGAAAGCAAACCTGCCTCACGTGGTGCAGATAGAAATCGGGGCGGAAGAGCAGCTTCAGGAGCCGGATGTTGAACAGATAGCCGTCGATGGTGTCGTGACGCGTGATGGGGTCCCGGAACCTCACGCGGTCGTCGTACATGGTCCGGTCGATGCCCTGCTCGTCGAAGAGGTGAGGGAGGTCATCATAGAGGAACTCCACCAGGTCTTTCAGGTCGGTGCCCACCTTCTCCACCGACTCGCTCTTCACAGCGCAACCCCTCCTCGGACCCACACTCCTTGTCACGGGACGTGCGGGAGGGCGTCGGAGATGAAGGAAGGTTCCGGCGGGCTTCAGGGCGGCGGGAGGCCGCCTGAGGCCGGCGGGGACTGGACGGAGGAATTGGTCGGCGAAAGCTGTGGCCATTCTGTTCTCTCTTTTTGTGGTTAGTTGGCTCCGAGCCAGCGTTCTCCAACGTGCGCTCGACGTCTTCTTATCCACAGCCACTCCTGCTAAGTAACGACGTGACCGCTGCTACATGATACTTTGTGTTTGTATACACCAAAATATATGTACAGATCATTTTCCTCAAATTTTACATAGATATATATGTACATCAAAACGGGGTTTTAATTCTAAATATGATGCTGACATAGATTATACGCATTAAAAATAGATGCAAATTTAGGATTCCATACAATATCATCATGGATCCCAGCCATGAACATGACCATGGGTTATTTGTCTCAGACAAAAAAGAAAAGAAGATCTCAGCAACAGGAGATGATTCTGTGCCACAGGCAAAATGTTTCTTTCAAGGAAGGGATCCATGAAACCTGACATAACGACAAACAGATGATAAACGAAGTTTCGGATACTGAGTATGATGAAGATGTGCTGCACAAGCTTCGTGTTTCCAGTAAAAGAGCAAAACAGAGCATTGGGGTGTGGTAGGCAACCAACTCATGCTGTTTTGGCTGGCCATGTTGCTTGCGCTGACATAATTATGCCAACGATCACACCAAATAACCCAAGTGCACTGCCAAATATTTCAATCACCAGAATCTTGACAAAAAGCGTGGAGTTTTGAGCATCGGACAGCGCACAGCTGCTTCCAATTATTCCTACGCAAAGTCTGTTCAGAGAGAACATATATCAATGAGCAATCGATGTAAAAACATTCTCCTGAAGCTGTGCAAGCTATGGATGTGACTGCATGGTTGTCTGACATACCCGCACATGAGATTTGCAAAACCCACGATGATTCCAGAAGCAAATATTGCATATCCAGCTCTGAGAGACTCTGGATCATATATCTTTGATGATGGCACGCTTTCTAGTTTTGTTTGTAGAATAATTGCAACAATAACACCATATATGGCGACAGCCTCGCAGAAGATAACACTGAAGATGATGCATTCACCTTAATAGTGTTAGAAAGATTACAAAGGTGAAATATCAAACAAAATATATTTTTTCTTTAGGGGCAATTAATCACAATATTGTTGTTGCCACAGGCAGATGATATGCAAAGGCACTAACAAACAGTTTGATTAAGATTCTGTGTGTAAAATAATATCAGTTGTTGTATATATATGTTGTCGCAATTTAAAGAACGGGGTGAGATCAAGATCAGCTTAATGAACTTTCAATTACATGCAACAAAGCTTGGACCTAAATCATGCATGACTGCCTGTAAATATTGAGCCACAAAAGCTCTATATGACATCCAAGATCTAGCCTGATTAAGAATACACATCAGATTAAGTGCAATCAACTTTAGCACATGAGCCACAAAGCTCCATACTAAAATGGGATCAAGTCTTGCAAAACACGACATTATAAGCACCTCACAGCATTAAGGAGAGAAATCATAGGCCACATAACCATCCAACAAATACAGAAACAGACTCAAAATACAAGAGACTAGTTAGATTAGCACCTTTAAATTCCTATAGAACCAATGTTCATATCATATTGATGGGTAATTAACTGCTTAAGAAACATTATCTAAACTTAATTCATGTGGACAATTGGATCCATGCCATAAGCATCTACATTTACTTTCTCCGCTATAAAACCAAATAAAGATGGACCATAGCGACTAGACCGATGAGAGCGAAAGTGGAACTCTATACTTCCACAGGTGATATATATTCAAAAAAAGACAAAGGAAGTTCCCTAGTTGTCTGGAAGATTAATCACAAAAGCTATTCTGATGATGAGATAATTAATCTAAAACTACAAGAGAAAGAAAACTTGCACAATGTTTTTATTAATCAGAAAAAAATTGGTGGGTTTAAAAAAAAAGTGTACCTAGCATTAAGAAAGAGTTAATAAAGATAATATATAATAAAGTTATTATGACAAACGTTTGTGTTTGGAAAATCGCTACCACTGCAGGCTTGAATCAAGGATCTACTTTAGATCAGTAATATATTCTATCAGTCATAGATGAACTTATTGGGCATATTCAAAAACAAGTTTCCATGTTGTTGTATTATCTGCTAACAGTAATGAGAGTATAATAAGGGCTGACGAAGACAAACAAATGAGACTTAGGGTTCTAAATTATGTGAATATAAGAACTAAATATATTAAGTGCAACTTTAGCAAAATCAAAAAAACAAATGAGGGTATAATTAATAAATATGGACAATAATTTTTAAAAAGTAAAGTGTTTTCTATTGTTCAGCATGGAAGGGAAAGTAATGAAGAAAACATATAGAGTTAAAGTAGAATTATTTAAGCAAATATGTATGTATCATGAGTATTGAGTTACCCTTTTGTGCCTCTTAAACTAAAAGATAATTCTATAAACAAATCCTCATGTGCCTCTTAAACTAAAACATAATTTTATAAACAATTATAAAACCAGGTCTAAATGTTGGGCTGTTAGAAGAAAAAAAAATCATATAAAAATTTATGATACCAAAATGAGGATGCCGAGATGGATGCGTAGGGTTACTAGAAATGTAAAAGTAACAAGCATTTACATTCAAGTGCAATCAGGATAGTTCTGATTGCATATCAAAAGTAAGAAAAACTGTTCAGTAGACCTATAGATGCATCAACTAAAAGAGGTCAGTTGATTAAGGATATAAAAGTTGAAGACAACCTAAGAAAATTTTATTAGACAAGACTGAAAACAGAATTGACTGTTAGTTTGATTAATAATTTGGTACTTGATGAAGCTCAATGGCAAAAGTTCCATGTATCTAACCCCAATGGGGACCTTGCAGCTAGGTCCTATCTCAGATACATCGTATATTGCACAAATTTAGACAAACCAAAAGTTGGATCAAGTTGAATATATATATGCCAATGATATCTAAACCCATTTCAGCAAATATAATGAGTTTTGCACATCTCAGGTACTACTAGCATATACAAATCACATTGGCTACTCAAAACTCTGATACCCAAGTATCCATCAACTTCTCTTGGACACTCAGACTAATGCAGCTTGTGATGCTCTCTACCTCAAAAAGGTTGAAGTTTTGTCAAGAATCACCAAGGCCTAAAAATCAAGGGCAAAGACTTAATCATGCTATATTCATTTACTATTAATCTTGAACGGAAACCTACATGGAAAGAGCAATTTTGTCCATCTAATCATTCATCATGGGAGAGCTAGAGCTGAATCAGATATATTCACCCCGTTTAGACATCAAAAAGACAACCTAATATTACAACATTTGCCATAGCGCAAGCTTCTTCTACAATATACTACCTTCTTTCACCTAATCCTTTGGCACATTTTTCGCCGATTAGTATTAGACATCTGGCAGCTATCTAGTCTAGATTCCTTGCACGAAAAACCCTCGGGTTATATAACATACACTCCAAGTCTCTCGAGCTCAATGAAATTGAGTAACATACCAGTGGTAAAAGGGCCCAATCTAGCACCGACAATTAGCAGCAGAAAACAGACTCGGGTAACCTGATCAAGTATAGAAAAGCACATTCATACAACTTTGTTAGGACAATCACCCGTTGTGTGGATTTAAAGGCCTAGACTAGTAAGCATCACATATCTATTAGATTATTTTTATGACATGGAAGAATAGGCTATAAAGGGAGATCTGGTCTCGTTCACAACAGGATTTGTTGTTTAGTTGAAGCTCTAAGGAAATCAAAGTCTCCGATATACCATAATTTACCGGTCAGCTGATCACGAACTATTTCTCTTGCAGTTTTCCATGAAACTTAAGATCCACAAATTGACAACTCAAAGATATATCATCATTTGCAGAGCCTCAAAGGCGAAATAGCTAGCTAGGTACTAAATCGAGGAAGAAACACCGAATTATCATTAAAAAAAACCCTTTAACCGAAGAGTAATAGCACGCACCTAATGAGATTCTTCGAGGTGATTCTGGGGGCTTTGATCGCCGCACCGATCAAGCTGCTCCCGGTGATATAGATCCCCCTGGAGGAATCGACAGAAGGTAATTATGAAACAAATCTAGGGAAAATGGGGGAAAACTACGAAGAGAAGCAAGGAAAGAAAAGAGAGATTTCGATCGTCCCACCAAGCGGCGCCGAGGACGGAGACGCCGATTGAGATGGCGATTCCGATGGAGGCGAAGGTGTAGGGCGAGATCTGCGTCAGCGCCCGCGACCACGAGCTCGACATCGCAGCGATCCCTTCCGAGAAGACAAAGCTTAGGGTTCCGGTGCCGAGCAAGCAGAGGAAGACAAGGACGGATTTGGATTGGCGCACGGAGACCTCGCGATCCGGAGGGGACGGGCCATAAGTGCCCGTTTCGCAACATTTTTGTTGTGTTTTATGATTTTGAAAACAAAAACTCGCAAAGTCTGATAATGTTTCACATTTGATCATCTCTACGTCATGACTAAAGAGACGATTCCACACACACCGACCCAACCAATGTGTGTTACGTATATGGTTGTAAGTTAACTGGCTCCCCAACTCAACTCAGTACGAGTAGTGTAGGATTTGCTTCATCGACATCCAAATTATTCCACAACGTTATTGTTGTGAGTTTTCTGTTTATGAGAAGATAATGCTCGCAAGCGTTGATTGGATACTTTCATGTTTGATCGCCTCCATGCGGCTAATTACATGTTAACTATATTATATATATATATATATATATATATATATATATATATATATATATAATTAACTATCTCTAGCAGTTTTTATTTTTTAAAATTATATTAGAATCTTTATACTTATAAATTCAACTCTACTGATACCACTGAGCTATTTTGGTCATTAGGGTAGATGATGTGAGGAAAAATAAGATTAAATATTTTACTTATAAAAATTTTAATATAATATTTAAAAATATAAGGATCGAGATGTTAAAAATAATTAATTACATGAGGTCATATATAATTATTCATCTTCATGTTATTATTTTAGAAATAATTTTAACGTAACACTCCGATCAACATATATTTATGGTTATGACTTAAGTGGCGACATATTTCAATCGTTAAATCTCATTACGTATAATATCGATAATGACAAATAATTATTCGAAATAGGATAGATTCTGAATTAATTAGTATAATCGAATGTTTGCCTGTGAGTTGTTTGCAATTGAGTTCAAACCTAATGACATCCCTAGATTTGGGCATTTAATTCAAAAGTTATGGATATTATAACTTAAAACATATCATTTTAATTCTTAATGTTTAATTGAGAAAACTCAAACTTGCATAATTAGTTTGGACATAGTTAAGGTTGATAGGACATGTAAAGTATACTTTGTGAGACTTTAACAACAGATTCGTTATTAAAGATATTTAAAATTCAAATAATTAGCAAGAACACTAAAATATTCATTATATAAAATAATAAGGACATATAAAGATCCATGAATTTTATATGTAATAATCAGATTCTATAAGTATCGGCTTCCTAGTTGTTATTTATGTCAATGTAATTTTATTAAAAATCATTTTCTTACATATCATTAACTCAAAAGTTGGTATAATATTTATCTAATATAAGTATCGGTTTCCTAATTCACTAACAATCATCCTTCAATCAATGGGTGAAGACCAACTACCCTCTTACAATTCTTTTCTTCTTTTCACAAGTTTAGAAGATAATATTTACAACTAGTCAACCATCCTTTAAACAGAAATTATACTTCTAGAGAAGAGGAGAAGAACTCTTAAGATTACAATAGTGTTTTCCTAATTTATTTTCTCAGTTCATGTGTTTACTAAGCAGAAATGAGTGAAATATTTATAGGCCCTAAATGACTTCATAAAATTGAGCCAAAATTTAAATCTTAGATATTTCGGGGTATTAACGGTACCATCGCTAGTACTGGGCGGTATCACCATCCAGTTTGATGGTACTATCGCCTGACACATTGGCATTGGGCGGTACCATCATCCAGTCTGACGGTACTATCGCTTGACACATTGACACTAGGCGGTACCACCATCCAGTCTGGTGGTACTATCGCCTGACACACTGATATTAGACGGTACCACCGCTTGACACAGTTTGAGAAATTATATATGGGCGGTACCATCGCTTGATCTGGGTGGTACTATCGCCAGACCCTGCTACATGACACTGAATGAGCCAAACAGTAGACCTAATTCAACCCTGATTTAGGTCCAATTGGCCCATAATTGAGTTGATATTGTTTCACCCCAATATCGACTCAATTAGACCTAAATTAACTTGTGTCGTCTGACATGTCATTGGTTCTTCCGGCACTTCGTCCGATCTTTCGATACATCATCCTCTCCTTCGGTGTATTGCCCAATCGACAACTTAACTATCGTAAGTTTCGATCTCCTTAACGCAATATCCAATCCTTCAATTCAATGCCCAAACTTATGATAAGAAGTCCTTCTATCGATATGTCGACTGGTTCTTCGGCTTAACATCTAATCTCATGATATGTTTCACTCCGGTCTAACGTTCGATTTCTCCTGCTTTAATTAATTTATCTTTTCTAATCGAAGTTAATCCTGTGTCACTCAAAACATAGATTAGATTATAAACTCATCAATTAATTTCATCAACAAAATATTGAGATTCACCCTGCATGTCTATAAGTATTACAGATAATAAGTTACGCTAAAAAAAAAATCCCTCATTTATAACCTCTTTATAGCTCTAGCACTATCTACGTTATGTCTCACACTTCACTTCTTAAAATAAATATCAAAGAGGTTTTGTGAGTATACCCTAGGCATTGTATTGACATCTCACCTCTTTAACTAAGTATCAAAAGGACTACGTGAGACACACTCTTACCCTTAACTTAATTTTTATATGATTTTGTACCTAAAAAAAATAATTTTTCTCGATATTACATAAATATAAAATAAAATCCTTGTTGGTTCTGAGTTGATATTCCATCAGACAACCATATTTTGTGCCAACATGTATCCCGTTACTCGTGCATATACGTAAATTATTGTAAAGCCACCGACAGAGATTGTAAGATGCCAAGACATGAACACATGCACGAAACATGACACGACAGGAGGCCAAAATAACGCCAACGCACAACGTGGGTATGCAATTGCTGACGATTGATATTAATTATTTTGAGACGGTCCCATGTAAATGTGCAACTCATTCTTAGCTAAATTACATTTTTGTTGGTTCGATTTCGAAATTTGTGGACAGAAATGGTTCGATTTGATTCGAACCTTTCCCCCCAAATCAAATATGCGGAGGATTGGGTCCAATGTTTTCGCCTTTTTTACCTCCCCAGCCACCGCACATTCCACCGAGACCCGAGATTCGACTCCTCCGACAAGAGTTGCAGCGGATCTGCTCGTCGGTGCTTCGATCGGGATTTAAAACACGGCGATGACGGTGCACGTACGTTGGTCCTCCCCGTCTTCCGCACGTCAAGAGAGATGCATCTGGCCGTCCATTTCCCTCCATCGAGACGATCGCTCTTCGCTCACCGCACGATCTTGTGGAAGATCCGACCCACCCACGGCTCCGTCGGACCGAAACCGTAAACTAAATTTGCACTTTACCTCCCATCCTGTTTAAAATTACTTATTTACCCCCTTTAAATAAGTTTATGCATATATATATATATATATATATATATATATATATATATATATATATATCCATCTTTATGGCATATAATGTTGTTAAAGTATTTCCTTTTTTTTGCGGTAATACGCGAGTAATAGGCAGGGGTTCTTTTGTAATATTATTTTTTATACGGATTCCCTGCTTCAATATTTGGAATTTTCTTCGATCGCCTTCGGCGCTTCGCTACCTCTTTTCGTACCCATTTAGGGCTTCGATTCTTTCCCTCGAATTGCGCTCTTCGCTGGCTTGCTTTCCGATCGGATCTTTGTGCCTGTTCTTGCTGTTCGTCGCCGGCATTCCCGTCAAATCTAGTTGCATCGGAGTCGTTCTCCTGCTCCATCGAAGCTGGATCTCTCGTTGAGGTAAAGAATTTTAGATCTAAAGATGCTGAACCCCTTGTTTGCCAATCCTGATCTTTATTTTGGATCTAAATCTTGAGAGCTTTCCATAGAAGATCTCATAGATTGTCAATTCGCTCCAAGTAGATAGATGGAAAGATCGAATGTAAGAAGTGATCACTTTTGATTCTTGCAGCGGCGGAGCGCATAATCATGGACGGAGTCAAACCCGAAGCTTCGAAGCAGTATTACGCCACAAGTAGCCTTGTTGTGGGCTATGCTCTCTGTTCCAGCTTGCTCGCTGTCATCAACAAGTTTGCTATCACAATGTTCAATTACCCTGGCCTCTTGACGGCATTGCAGTACTTGACATCGACTCTCGGTGTTTGGGTTCTGGGAAGGCTGGGTTTTCTCTACCACGATCCCTTTAACCTTGAGACAGCCAAGAAGTTCTTGCCCGCTGCTTTTGTCTTCTACCTTGCCATTTTCACCAACACCAATCTTCTACGGCACGCTAATGTTGATACGTTCATAGTGTTTCGTTCCCTGACTCCCCTTCTGGTTGCCATCGCGGATACTGCTTTCAGAAAGCAGCCATGCCCTTCCAAGCTGACATTCTCATCTCTTGTGATTATTCTTGGGGGCGCAGTTGGCTATGTGATGACCGATTCTGCCTTCACTCTCACTGCATACTCGTGGGCATTTGCTTATTTGGTGACTATTACCACTGAGATGGTTTACATAAAGCACATGGTGACGAACCTAGGATTGAACACTTGGGGTTTTGTGTTTTACAATAATCTTCTGTCCTTGATGATGGCACCGGTGTTTTGGGTTGTTACTGGGGAGTATGCAGATGTCTTCACAGCTTATGGATCAAGTTCTGGAAATTGGTTCGATTTCGTTGCTTTTGTTGCAGTAGCTTTGTCTTGTGTTTTTGGATTGCTCATCAGTTTCTTCGGCTTTGCTGCAAGGAAAGCAATCTCTGCCACTGCATTTACAGTTACAGGTGTTGTCAACAAGTTTCTCACCGTTGCGATCAATGTATTAATCTGGGATAAGCATGCAAGCTCGCTTGGTTTGGTTTGCCTGCTTTTGACACTCATAGGGGGAGTTCTTTATCAGCAGTCGGTCACCGGCAAAAGATCACAACGAGATGGATCTACAGATTCTAAGCAGGCCAACAGTGCAGTAGGTAATGTTGATTCTGAAGATGAAAAACAAGGCAAGGGTCTATCTGGTAAGGATTCAGCCGTATGATATCAACATAAGAGATTATTCTTCTGATCTCAGAGACAAATATGTGCTATAGAAGCTTAATTGTCCTATTATATTTATAACCTTTTGTACTTGGTTTTTGTTACATGAGAAACGTTATGCTAGTGTTTGTTTTCACTACTTAAACCAGCTGGTTATGCTGTTTGGGCTAATTATCTAATGATCGTGTCTTTATCTGAACCTTCTTGCATGTGTTTGATGTCTCGAAAATTTTCTGCAGTTTTATTAAGCAATTCTTAGCGAATCAGCATCATGTAGTTGTTTTGCTCTAGGGATTCCTAAAACAAAACAAATAGAACTAAGAAAAATGACCAGTTCTTGAGGGGAGTGAACATGTCCAATAAAGCATCAAATTAAAAATAGAGCTATATCAAGTTGTGAAAGTGAACCGTAAGGTCTAAGATCTCCCCAGCTACTTGATTGGACAGGATAAGAGGAATAAACATTGTAGGAAAGGAAAGCTTAAGATCATGAGAAATTTAAAAGTGACAGATCTTTTAGTTTTATTTTTAGTGAATACATAAAGATGGCATATGGATGTCAATGACATCACCAATACAATAATTAATATGAATAATATTGAAATCTTGCCAGATATGTATATCCGACTGCTCGCATTATTAATATGAAGAGTGTTGAAATCTTGCCAGATATATATTTTTGACTGCTCACATTGTCTTACTGATGTTGCAAATCAGGACCATTTAAATCTATAACCTTTTAGACTAGCCGGTGCTAAATTCAACTTCAAATAACTCAAAATAGATAGACCACGATGTTTATTAGAGGGGGTTTCTAAATTCAAAGAAACCATGGGACATTTGCCTTTTCTCTTAACCTCCATTTTTTTGATGTTATCTTGGACAGGATGCATCTTGACTTCATTTATTGTTCGAGAGGATTCATAGACCACAAATTTGTTATGTGAAATTTGTCTTTATTGACTTCCTTTTGCTTGGGCTTAACTTTGAGCTCTAAATGGTTTTCTTGAGTGAGGCCACTGTCAAAGTTTCTTACAATTTTTTCCTCCATAATGAGTCATTTTAAGTTAAGTTCTTTACAAGGTCTTAATCTTTACTTTTCACCTGCTACCCTGATGAAGGCTACCCAAACTTAATCACCCATTCAAAGTTTGGAGTGTAATTTTGTTCTACTTGCACAACACCTGATCTCAGTTTATGAATACCTAGATTTGTGTTGGTCATTATAAAATGGCTAGAAATGTCTAGAGTGTTACATACTTATATCCAAGCAGACCATCATTTGATTACCAAAAAAGAATGTTGTCCGTAAACAACATAAAATTGATCCTACCCGATGATTGTCCATGCCAGCGATGAGTGTTTTCTGCAAGTTGTGACAACACCTAATCTGTGTGTGTGCCTAGTAGCTGCCATCAATTAGTGGCAGAAAGAATCTGTTAGTCATGTTCTGAGTCATGGTTCCGAGACTGGAAAATATGGACAATGATCTATGTTTCAAAATTAGACATTTATGATATAATCATATGAACTGAGAGTTCTCAACTTTGATGTGCCATTATTGCTATTGAAAACGGGTGATGCAATAAGGTAGTATCACTCTAAGCAGTTTATACAAGGATGTAGCATGTGCATGCATGGTGAGAACTTCAATCAATTACAGGTGACAGAGCTTCTTTTATGGATTTGTGCGGTAGTCATAAAAGACAAGTTTCATTCTGATGATTTGGTATAAAGTGGACTAACATAATAAGTGCCTCTCTTGGGTTTTCAAGGATTCTTTTCTGTGGTTTATTTGCAGCTTAAAGTTAGCTGCAGAGTTCATGTTTGATACTCAGCTTTCTATTGGTATTTTGAACATGATTGTATGTAAAATCCTTGTGTCAATTCACAGCGAGTTACCATCTACTTAAAGCTTTATCCAACAAGGCTGCATGTAGATTATTTATAGACACTTTTCTCTTAGAAAAAGAAGTGGATAGATACGGATAAGTTTGGGTGAAAAACACCTTAAGAATTGCTGTGTTGATTCCTCTACAATAACTCAGTGGACATGATGAAGCATATCCAGGTCTTTCCAACTTGTCCGGGAAGCTTATATTGGCAACTCTGCATACCCTTCAGCTAAGGAAAGAAAAGGGCACATATCCCTTCTGAGAAAAGCTGTAAGCATCACTGTCAGAATTTAATCATCCCAAGGATCAGCAAATGGTAGGTAACAACTGATCAAAAAGCACTTATTGCAGGAACTGTTGAAGTCTGTTTCATCTCTTTGTTCTCAAATTCACTGAAGAAAAACTTTTTAAGTTCCTTTTGCAAGTTCTAACCAAGTAAGAGGACACAAGGAATATGATCTACCATTGATAGCTTTGTGATGGATGAAATGATTGGCCTTGGACAGTTCAACATCTTACCAGGGTTCCTGCTCCATGAACTTTGAAGGAAAAGGCTAAAAGATGCCTTCTGAACCCTTCACTGACCAGGCCATTGTTGCTGTCAGAGTCTCCTCTTCGTTTTATGGGAGATGCATCTTGATAAAGGACCTTCTTGTTCAAGAATTCAATGGAGCTGTCTTATTTGCAAGCCAAAGAGTGCACCAGAATCTTTAAAGTAAGTGTTATCATGACAAAAGTTCCCGAGGAATTTCTTGAACTCTTACCTGGCAACAAGGTGAGAAGCCATGCTTGACCAAAGTTTTTTCTTTTTTCATTCCCTAAGAATCAAAAACCTCCAAAAGCTCATGCAGGTTCTGAATTCATTACCGTGCATACCATTTGTGAAAAAGGCAGCTCAAATGATCTTGAAGAACTTGATTCCAGGTCTGAAGTTGACAATGCATCAAAAAACTAGACTCTTAACAGGTTCGTAAACTTTTTTGCATTGGAATCCACTTTGATTCGCTATTACGTTGCTTAATGATGAAAACCACAAGATAAACAAGAATATGGAACAAAATTTTCTCCTCTGTTTGGTCCCTTCAAGAACCAATAAGGGTGACTTTGATCATTTAAGCTAAATGTGTGAGATAATATTCCAACTTGGTTGTCGATAGGTTAATTCATCTTCTTAACCTGGATCCCCATGACAGATGTCTATCTTTTTCCTTTTTCTTCTCACTTGTACGTTGGTGTATGGATCTGATGCTAATTCTCCTACTCCTAGTATGAAAGCTCCTGAATTCTATAAGCAAATTACATGATCTCAAAATTTATAATACAGACCTCATAACTTTTTTTCACCACCTGAGATTAATCTGATTCAGTCGAATCATTTCCGATTTTCAAATCAATTTTCCATCCTATGTGGAGGAACTTTTTAGAAGTCATCATAGAGTGAAATTTAAGTTGCTTGGTCTGCCTGCCATTTTTTGTCAGCTGAGCCATGAGACTTACTAAATTAATTTGGGACTGTTTATATTGATCAGATTTGGTGAAATTCCAAATGGTAAAGAACTGTACATGTGCTTGGATTCCCTTTTCTCAAGAAAAATCCAAGGGTGGTTTGCATATTATTCAGGATAAATATGCAGAATTTACTTGGAAGATCTTAATAATATCGAGAAGGTTAGCTAGTAAGCATCTGTATGATTCCACACAATGCCAGGGCCACTCTTTTTCCCTCTTCTCCTTTGCTTTCCAAAGGGAAAGAATCATCCTTGTCTGTAGATGATTATAAAGAGCTAAACACAATCCCATCTCTATGGCCCAGAGAGAATATTCTCTCCTCAAGTAGACAAAAGGTATATACAGGTGTCATGAGAATAATCCCCTCAAAAGCTGAGAGATAGTGAGGCAAAGGACACGTTTAGAGAGAGAGAGATGAAAGAATCTACACTAAAGGCAAGGGTTGGAGTCTTGTACTTGAAGACTGCTGTAGAAAGGAACCAGCCTCCCAATTACTGCACTCCCCAACTCCAAGGACTCCCCTTCTCCAATGCATAGAGGAATCTGCTGACCTTCCTTCCCACTTCCTCTAAAGCTAGCAGCAGTAGCAGGATGGAAGATTCCCACCTCTCACCCCCTCCTACTTTTGCATGCTTTGAGGCCAAGGAGGGTTGGGTTTAGTCCTTTAAAGCATATTGCATGGACTTGTGTCTGGTGGACACCATTAAGATATTCCTTGCTTATGGTAGCCCTGTGACAGTAATATTCCCCTGAGCATGCATTAGATATCCTGTCTTTGGCACTGAATTCTTTGTGAGTGTGGATGGTTACAGCCAGTGTATGCCTTTGAATACCTTCCTTTCCTTGGTTGCTACATTGAGAATCCTTGCATATCTTGTTTATATTATATATGTGCAGTATATGCTTCTGCAGCTTAGATTATTCATCTTCAGTATCAGGCTCCTCTCAAATACTACTTCGACATCTGTGAGCATCTTTCTTATCTGTTGTTTATTTAGTTGTTTGTACATCTTAGCCCGGAGCATGTACCAATTGAAACAGGGTATGCTGTGGGAAGGAAGAACCCCAACAACAAAAAAAAATCATTACTTGGCTGTATATATTTCTTGGTGCTTGAATTTGCCCACCAAAGAGGACAAGGAACAAGGAACAGGAAGGGATGGTAAAGAGGAAGAAGAATCCTTTTGTTGCAGTTGGATTTGAGTTGGTACAAGGAGTCCAAAGGCACCAAAACCAGGGCCTTAGCACATGATCTCCTGGCCACCTTGATTCCCTTCTCTTGAACCTTTGCCTTTTCTCTGCGAGAAGTTACCATGCTTTATCTCCTGCCTTTTCTTTTCCTCCCCTCAAATCTCACTTTATTCCCCCCCTCAGACTCAGTTTAATTCCTCTTGTGCAGGCAACACATCTCTACTCCTCTCATATCCTCCCGACTCACAGATCAACGCAGGGAGAGCTTGCAGTACTTAGTAGCAGTGGCACCCGCCATGGGTTCACCGCCCGAGCTCAGCCTAGACTACAAGCTCGACAACTACACGGCGGTCGCAAAGGCGGCAGGAGCGCAACCTGAGCAGAACCAGAAGATCCAGGAGTTCCTCGCTCGCCTCGAAGAAGAACGGCATAAGATCGAAGTCTTTAAGCGCGAGCTGCCTCTCTGCATGCAGCTTCTCAACAACGGTAAGCATTCCATCCCATGAAGTCTTGAGCACTAGAAGAAAGGCATCAGTTCTTGCTTCACACTGCACTGCAGGCACTGCACTGCACTCCGCTGCACCATGTGATATTGATACAGCATGGTGCAACCACTGTTCCTTTGTAATTGTTGTCTTCCGACAGCCATTGAGATTTATAAGCAGCAGTTGCAAGAACGCGTGCCGCTTAAATACATGAATGTTGATGGGTCCGACAAGGCCAACTGGATGGTCTCGGCTCAGCTATGGAGTCCGCCTGACGACGCAGCCAAGCAGCAGGCGGCGCCGCCGCCGAAAGAGGCCGACGTGATTCCGAAGCTCGCGCTGGACACCACCAAGCAAAGGAGCGGTGGCGCGTTCCTTCCCTTCTCGAGGGAGAAGAGCAGAGGAGCCCACGCTACCTCTGCGGAGAAGGTGGTGGAGGAGGAGAAGAAGTGTGCGGAGTTGGAGAATGAAATTGTTAACACCGGAAGACATAGTGCCGCCGATGGACATGGAAACACAGCTGATGGCCAGGCGGCGGCGGCGCCACCGACGCATAGGAAGGCCAGGAGATGCTGGTCGCCGGACTTGCACCGCCGCTTCGTCAATGCTCTTCAGATGTTAGGAGGCTCTCAAGGTAGTATATGTGTGTGTGTATATATATACAGTTCTCTTTATTCTAAGAATTATAGGTTTAATTGCTGTCCTTTTGCTGTAGTTGCGACTCCAAAGCAGATTAGAGAGCTGATGAAGGTTGATGGATTGACCAATGATGAGGTGAAGAGCCACCTGCAGGTGAGATTGTAACTCCGTTTCGGTTACCATCTCCTCCGCTTCGTCCTCTTCTTGCTGGCTGTGAAGTGGGCTTATTTTTCTTCCCCGTGGGTTAGAAATACCGACTCCATACGAGGAGGCCGATCCCGGCGCCGCATGCGGCGGCGGGCGCGGGGGCGCCGCCGCAGCTGGTGGTGCTGGGAGGCATCTGGGTCCCTCCAGAGTACGCCACGTCGGCAGGTCCGGCCATGTACGGCGCTCACGCGGCCCCCGTGCCCCGGGAGTTCTACTCGCCGGTGCCGCACCACCACTACCACCACCTGCACTACCCTCCCCTCGGACTCGGCGCCTCCACCCCCGCCGCCAGTAGGGGGAGGACGGCTGATTCGCCGGAGCCCGAGGTGAGGAGCGGCGGGGAGAGGTCGGAGAGCATCGAGGAGGAGGAAGAAGAAGTGCGGAAGAGGGACGAAGAGGAAGAGGAGGAGGAGGCGCCGGCGTCGGAGGAGAAGGCGTTGGTGCCTCTGATGGTGAAGGCCGAGGACGACAACGGCGGCGACGTGGTCCTCAAGATCTGAAAGCGGAGACCTGAAGCAGAGAGAGAGAGAGGGAGGGGGAGGGGGTTGATGTCGTCTGTTTTGGAGCTTGCGATAAGGACGAGAGCTGATGATTGATTTGATTCTACGCTGCAGCGGTGCGTTGTGATACGAAACATGTACTTGTTTTATCTCGTCTTCTGCTTCTATATCAGCAACTAACCACACCATGGCGAGTCAGTACAAATAGGTGTAATCTGGATTCGAATCAAATCCAACTTGGACTCGGCTCGGGTTGGGTCAATTGCACCAACATCGACCTTGGTGTTCCACTCATAATCTGGCATGGCCACATCAATATGATTAATGACTCTCTCTCTCTCTCTTCCCATTGCTCCTTTGACTATGGCAATGAACAACAATGCATGAATCTATCAAGTTCTTTAGTTTAGCTTTACAGATTCGACCCTTTGGCTTTTGATCATAATTAACGTCGTCAAGCTTTTAATAAAGAAAATTAAAATAAGTAAAGTATGCTTCTATGCATTGAAATGCTGCTACTTGCGATGAAATAAACATGTGTGGACATTTCTTGTGAATCCATTTCTTGACAGTGGCACACTTATCATATATTCTCAGACACCACAAGGTCAACACTTTCAGCAGAGTACATTCACACATCTCTCAAAGTGATCACGAGGAGTTCATCAGCTTTTATTGTTGAAGAAGCAAAAAAGAAGCGAAAATATGAATAATATAGCAAAGAGCTGAGCTCCAAAACCATCCACATGTAAGATTATAAGCAATGGACATCGTTCTAACAAACAAACATCTGTGCTAAACTTGATACCTACAAAACGGCATGTGGCAATGAATTTGTCAACAACAAATTGTAGCACAACTCATCAAAAGCACAGAGAACAAAATGTATCTATCATCTTCATCTGGAATTGGAAAGGAAAACCCAAACCTGACTGCAATCTGAACTGCAATAGGATAAGAGAAGAAAAGCTACATACCATGTCCTCCAAAGTATCGATCGTATGATGAGACTGTCAGATCTTCGAAAGCAAGGGTCAAAATGGTCTTTGACAGTAAATTCGCATGCACCAAAACCCAAAGATGCAATTTGATAGAAATCATCCTGCACTTGCTAAATGAACTAGAGAGTGACTTTGCTTGGATTGCTCAGACTAGTTGTTAATTCCTTTTTCACTTCATCCTATTTAAGATTTTAAGCTTTTTATGGGGCATTTGAATGGATTCGGTTATTCAATTCAAACGTGAGAGACCTAACGAGACTGCATAAAGGACAACCAGCATATATGACTGCTTAAGGGAAACAAGCGTAAAAACGTAATGAATTGAGTCACTTAGCTGAGCGAGCATTCGAGATTGACATTAAGAAGAATGACTAACACTTTGTGCAATAGACACTACAAGAACAAACGAGCTACGAAGAAAACGTAATGTACAAATATTGGGATAGCCGAGTTCGAGCTACAACTTGATGGTACTCAAGACAAGTAAGACCCCTGACAAAAGATGAAACTGTACAGAGAGTGATAAGTTACTCGGTAATCGAAAGAGTTATAGAAGGCTTATAACGATTAAAAAAATTAATTAAAAAATAATAAAATTTTGATATAAAATGAACAAACAAGCATTAGACAACCAAAAATATAACAGAAAATTTAGTGAAAAAAATACATGCATAAACATAAAACAAAATGCAGCAGCAATCGAACTTCCTTAATAATACAACCATAATCACTAGCCCTCAATAACCAACGGATTCACTTACAAAACCTACTCGAGTAACACAGTTAGTCTCCGATGAAGCACAACCAAAGATCACACACAATGCTCTTCCACAAAAGGTTCCACACATCAGGAGGGTACTGTATCTCATCTACTTCACACCAGCTTCGAACACATAGCAACCAGAGTTCTACTTCAGCACTGAGTCAACCATCACAAAGGTCGTATAATGCAGGATCTATAACGCCGTTGAAATCCATGAGGCTATATATATTGGGAGATGCCGACTGTGAAGAACTGCATCGTTCCTGTAATTCTCTGCAAAGAACAACATTTCCAATGTTAAATATTGTGGTTTTTCCTACAAGCTAAGAAACAACTCCATTTCACATTCAGCAGTAGTGTAAGCGGCCAAATCAAGAACCAAAAGCACTACGATATATGCAGACTTCCATTATAGAGCTTCCGAATGTGAAATCATTATCATCCCCCCATGCTAATCTAATAAACAAAAACAATAATTTTTCTGACTGCTCGCGATTACTCGAGCTCGTTTCAGGACTCGATTCGGGCCTGATAAAGATCTAGCAACTCTAAGAAACGAAAATTTCCAGCTTCTTTCGACTGCTCAAGCTATTGACAGAAGATATTTTCGCTGTTCGGATTCAAGAACACTGAAGAGTGGAATCGAGACAGAAAGGGTCAGTGCAAGCACGAAAACCGAATCGACTGGTGATTTTGGAGACCGAAGGGTTGAGATACAGATCCATAGATCGAGGGGGATAGGAACCTGGACGCGGTGGCCGCGGCAGGGGGCGGGCTCCTTGCGGCGGGGGAATCTGGGAAGGCGTACAACAGAAAAGGGGCAAAGTCACGCGAATGGGCTTATCTTCTACTTTGGTTTGCATATATCTCTGCCTTGAAGGGTATATGTATGAAAACGCCTTCATATTTAAATATAAGAATGTTTAGGTGCTTAAATGGAAAGAGTGTTCCTTCACAATCCCAGTTTAATCGACGACTAATTAAGTGCCGATAGAATGACGTGGCGCTCATCGAGAGCAGATACAGTTGGATTTTTTTCACAAAAACCCTTATTTAGAAATTATTTCATGGAAAGGCCTCGGAAAATACGTGTGAGGAGTGTTGAGTTAACTTTATGAGAAGAGAAAGGATCTTTACACTCCCTCATTTCTAATTGCACTTCCACTCTTTTACAAATAATTAAAGGATTAGGTTGCAAATTGCAATGAGAAGAGAAAGGATTAAGTCGGTGGCTTTCCGTTACATTGTAAACAATATGAGGGTTCAATTGAATATTTCAATCGCATAGGGACTCAGATGCAAAAAAACAATCCCAAATCATAAAACACTCCGCTTCCACTGTCCCCTCCCAATCTCCGCCCCATCCGCCGTCGTCCTACACTCATCTGCGGTGCCCGCAGCTCTCCTCCCCATCTTTCCCATGGCCATGGCGCTCCCCCTCGCCTATGCGTCCTCCGTCGTGCATCCTTTGTGGGTCGCTCCTTCTCTTTCTCCGTGTGTTGCTTTGCTTGCCCTTGTTCTTTTTTCTAAATGTGTTCAGCTAACTCCGCTCCTTGTCGTGTTTGTTCTCTCGGCAGTGAAGCAGGAAGGCTATCTTTCAGCACCAAGGCCACCAAGGTAAGAGACCTGCATCCGAATCTTTCTTCCTAGACCCTATTATGTTGTAAATGTGCTCATAGCTTCTGCCACCTTCATGTTATGGTCTAAATTCCAGTTTTATTGAACTCCCTTAGAACTTGTTTGTTATAAATTTCTATCATTATTAATATTAATATTATTTTGGAATGCATGTGGGATAAATTTAGCCAGTAGATTAAAATTGGGGTATTAGGGCCCAGTGACAATTCTAATCCTGGTGAGTCCTGTAGCTTTCCTGATATCTTATTAGCTATATCTCGGTGTTTCTGTAGTATGAGACTTGTCTCTGTTAGCTACGCATTACCTTTGTTAGGGTGTTTGCAGAAAACTCATGTTAGTAAGGGTTTTTGCCTTCTCTTCTTTCGTCTCTTTTAGGGTCTACAAACTCAAAGAACGGCAAGGAGTTAAC